GGGGGGGGGGGGGCTTACGTGTGTCAGCGCAGGGTGGTGGATGGTAGTGACAGATGCTGCATGAGAGCTCAGCTCCCCACCCTTCCCAGCCAGCACCTGTGTGGCCTGCAGAGGGGAGCCACTGCCCTTGTCATCCCCCCACTGCTCCTGGGAGGCGGCAGTGCGGGGTGGTGGCACTCTGTCCCCACCCGCCTGCGCGCACCCCCTAGCCCCTTTCCAAGAAGCCCTGGGGGTATGCGTACCCCCAGTGACAACCCTTGGGCTATGCAGTTTATCAGGGCTCTAGGATCAAAATATTAAACAACTTTCAGCTTTATAGTAATACTCTGTGGATGCTTTCAGTTATTACAAAGTTTAGATTCATGACTATCTATTGGTAACCATACTGTACCAATCTCCCCACATAACTATCAAGTTTCTTTGTGAATGTACTATTTAAAAAAATAGGAGAATATAGCATGAGAGGTTTTACAGCTAATGAACAAGATTTCTTTTGTTTTTAAGCAATGTTCAATAAAAAGAAACATCTGTTTGATGTGTCATGGAATTTGGAAAAGTCACTACTCAGCTATGTTAAGAAAGAATGATTTTTTGGGGGGGCATAATTAGCTTTCCCAATTAAACAAAGTGTTTTTTCTCTTAACAATAAAAATTGCCCATTAAGCTACTAACCTTCCATGTAATGATGACCACATATTTTTTTCCTTCTTACCATTGCATTCCAAGATATTATGAAAATGTTGTCATAACAGTAGCCCTATACTGTTTTCTTAGCAGTAATCTAATTCCCTTGCTGGGATAAAGCACTTATTTTTGTCGTTTATTCTATTGGATGAATGCCCCATAAAACAGTACAGGTTGCTGTTATCTTTGCCTTAGTCTCTTACTGTCTTATTTTCAATTTCAGTTTACTCACCCATAAGATCACTTGTGGTCATTACAGTTGTAAATATTCTTGCTGTAAATTTAAAAGAATTGTGATTAGTATAGTAGAGATGGTACTGATGCCTTCAAACAAAAAAAAAAGCCTTTGCTTTACAGCTGAGAAGAATTGAGCTTAAGACCCTCATCTTCCCCTTCCCCCAACGAGCCTAGTTTAAAGCCCGCCGGAGGAGATCCGCCAACCAAGATGAACATGGGCCGGCAGTGTGGGGATGCAGTCAGGAAGGCCAACTGCACCTTGTTATGCATCCACAGATGCATCTCAAGCAGGTCCAAGGTGATCCTCCCCCTCTATGCAGCACTGGTCAGGCCGCAGCTGGAGTACTGCGTCCAGTTCTGGGTGCCACACTTCAAGAGGGAAGTGGACAACATGGAGAGGGTGCAGAGGAGGGCCACTCACATGATCAGGGGCAGCAGGGCAGGCCCTATGAGGAGAGGCTACGGAACCTGAACCTGTTCAGCCTCCACAAGAGAAGGCTGAGAGGGGATCTAGTTGCCTGTTACAAACTAGTCAGGGGAGATCAGCAGGCATTGGGGAAGTCCCTGTTCCCCCGAGCGTTGCCAGGAGTGACCAGGAATAACGGTCACAAGCTGGCAGAGGGTAGATTTAGGCTAGATATCAGGAGGTGCTACTTTACGGTCAGGGCGGCTAGGATCTGGTACTTACTTCCAAGAGAAGTGGTGCTGGCTCCTACCCTGGGGGTTTTTAAGAGGAGGCTAGATGTACACCTTGCTGGGGTCATTTGACCCCAGTACTCTTTCCTGCCGTGGCAGGGGATCGGACTAGATGATCTACTCAGGTCCCTTCCGACCCTAGAAACTATGAAAACTTATAAATACCATGTCTTAAATTGATGCTCCTTTTCAGCCCTATTGATTTTGTTCTCAAAGATAAATCCCCAACACTCAGCTTAGGGTATTTATTTGGAAGAAGAACAACATAACTGAAGAACTCACTACAAGGTGAGCTGAGGCAAAAGGTTGTTGTTTTTATTTCTCCCACTTTTCCAGTGCAACTCTTTCTTTAATTTCTTGGTGCTGGTCCGAGTTGGTCAGCTGGTTTGTTTCCATATCAAACTGCCAGTAAGATCAGCTCATATTTTGAGAACTTAAATATTCTCTATCCCTCTCCTATTCTTTTCCTTGCAAAAGGTGGACAGCAATGGTGACAGGGAAGCCTGCAAGCCTTCCTGATAGCTGCCCTCCCTCCCCTTGGATTGCTAAAACTTTTACTAAATCCTAAAGGTGTTGAGACCTTATCCTTATAAAACAACATGCAAGTAGGGTTACTTTGACTACACTGAGGTCAACAGCAAAATTTGTGGCATTTACTTGGACTAGGACTTCATCCTTACTCTTATGAAAATAATACAGAAAGCTACACTAGGCAAGACTCATCTTTGGACTCATCTTTGGCAAGATTCTATGGGCTAGAGAAGACTACTACTGTAGGTAGAGATGCTGTGGGAATGGGAATCTTTGGAGCAGGCACTTTTACAAGTCAATGTATCTGCATGCTGCTTACTTGCACAGGTGAATGCAGACATACTCCAGGTTAGGGCGCTCACTTGTCCAGAATCTCTTGTCTGCCACAGGCAACGCAGCTGAGCAAGTTTACTGGCTGCACTGATTAATGTGCACAAATTCTGCAGAGAAGGATACCAAAAGAGGACAGCTGTCTTCATAGTTACACCAAACAAAAAAATGCTTAGTTCAGTCCTAAAGTTGAGGCATCACTTAAAAAAGAAAAAGGAAGTCTTTATTTTAAATTTTAAAAATCTTCCCCTTCACTGTTTGTAGCCCAGTTGTTATAGCATCTTGCTAAGTAACTGTGTACCAGAAATGCAACAGGCTGTTCTAGTTTTGTGGTAAAACAGTTACTGCAATCAGTTGAAAGTGGTACAGAAGCCTAGAAACATAGGACCAAGTCGTATTCAGCCTTCCACACAAGTATTTGTCCAAGTGCACAAAAGGAAGACTGAGTTACTCCAAACAAAATAGTCTCCCACCCACAAGCTGTATTAAAATCACATTAGGGAAACCAAAAGGAAAATGGAATCAGAATGTAAGATGAAATTGATATAAGCTATTGTCCAATTTGATGTGCAAAATAATGAGAAGCCTTTCCACCTGTTCACTTTTTTAAGGCATCATGAGGCTGAATCATAACATGGGGAGGATAATGGAACCAAAAGAAACTTGCTCATTATGTCATGGCTGCTTCACTGGCCCAGGGTCTGCTGGGACCCTGAAGGGCCCCACTGGTCCTTCATTACCCTGATCATGAGAGATGGGTTGTGCTGGCTGAATCAGTGGAGAGATCTGGTGACATCACTAATCTCAGCTAAGCACATTTCTACTCAAGCAAGCCTCTGCCACTAGAGTTGAGATGCAGCAAGTGCTGGCAGGAGTATTTCCATACTGGCACAGCTATACAGCCTCTCTGAACAAAACAAGCAAGTCAGCAAAAACCCTGTACAACTGCATCTATCCTGGGGCTTTTGTGGATGTTGACATGTACCCCAGGAAAACCTGGCTGTGCTATGTGGTCTTATTCCAGGTGATAGTCTGAATTTAGAGAGAGGTTCCTGCTCTTGCTCACTCCCTCTGCTTTCCCACCTTTTCTCTTTATTCTGTTTAGTGAGAGCTTGACTTAGCCATCTAAGATAGTCCCTCTCCTAACACTGCTGCAAGGTCAAAACCACTTGAGATAGCTACAAGTAATGTCTATACATGGCTGACAGTGGAAGATATTCCTATGTTTACCCAGCAGCAAGGTTGCAAGTCACCAGAGACAGAAACTTAATCCCTTACATAATTCATTTATTTATCTCCCCTTTCTTCCTGTACAACTTTTATAAAAGGTTTTAAAAAAATTTAATGGTGGTTACCATAATAGAAGTATGCAGGCCAACATCTTAACATATATCCTGAACCTTGTCTGATGATTGTACAACAATGGCGTACTACTGGCACCTGGCTCAGTGGGTCTACTTGCTCCATCAAATTTAAATACAGCATACATATATATACCTTAAACATCTTTAAAATTGAAAGTGTATCATGTTGTAGTGCCTTTTTCTCTCAAAGTACTCACTGTGATGAGATAAAAAAAAAAAACTGACAGTATTTGGAAAATGATCAGTAACAGCTAGTTTTCAATACAAAGAATTTTTTTTTTTTATTGAATGTGGATCTGCAAAGGGAGGGTTTCATAGACATGAATATTTTCAGTTAACATGTTAATACTTACCATTGCCAAGTCTATTATCCACTTCTGCAGCGTTAGAAGGTACCATCCCCCTACAAATCTTACTTTGGGTTAAGTTTCATAATGCTAAAAGAACCTGAGTCAAGGAATTAACTACATTCCCCTACTGTAAACCAGGAACAGTCACAGCAATGCTATAATTGAAGCTTCCTATAGAATCTGCATAAAACAGAACAATTCTGAGTAAAAAATTAATTAGATCAACACTGTGTGCAGGAAAGCTTTAGAAGAAGCAGAAGGAAAAACTAATGGTATAGTGATATCTATTAACACTTTAATCACAACCGCTATAAGAAGCTTTTGGGCAGTACAGAAGTTGGTGCTGTGGTAGTTTAGAGAGTATACACTACCTTTTCAGTAGCAGTCTTGAAAGGGAGTACTAGGCTTATTATTAAGATGGTGTCTATAATGGCACAAAAATCTGTAAGTTTACCAGAAAGCCATCATGCAGTAAGATCCTGGAATAGCTCCCTGAATAGACATTATCCCACAATGACTTAATAGGGCTCCAAGATGTCCATGATTCTAGAATAATGACTCTGCTCACAGAACCTGAAACTTCACAAATACAATCACCTAGGCACACTTAATTTTACACATCTTGGTAATCCCACTGATTTTGACGCGTCTACTTGTGTGAGCAAAGTTACAAACATGTTTCAGAAACGAGACCTTTGTTTTCTCTCATTTGATTTTTTTTACAAAACCATAAGCAAAAGATGACTAACAGCTCTCATGTTTGAAAATTCACTGCATTACAATTTATTACAGTTTTTAATCTAAAATTGCATTTGCATAAACCTACAGGAAGTCTTGGCAAACAGCAGTAGCTGCAGCAAGAGATCACAAACATTATGGTCAGTGTTGCATCTACCATTTAAAAAACCTGAATGGACAGCAGTAAAATTCAAGAAAAATCTTCTTAGGTAAGGCAGAGGCCAGCATTAACAATGGAGTAATCCAAGGAGTAGGGAAGGTATAAGAAGAAAGTCACCATTCTGCAGTAGTCATGAAATTTGGAGAGGAAGAGGATCAGCGACTTTCCACATACAAGAACTGGGAGAAATTTAAAAAGTTTCTTCCCTAAAGCAGGCAGAGGAGCTAGAATACCACCTTTATCAAACACCTGCAAGCTGAGGCTGTTAAGAAACATGGATCCCCAAAACAGGATCCAAAGGTGGAGCCTGGTGGGCAGAGAGGCCCTAATCCAGCCTTTACAAATGCCCTTCTCCCCTCTTTTTCATATCATACCCAGGCAATCAGTGTCTGAAGGTTTTCAAGCATAGCTTTAAGGTCTCCAGTGCCAAATTTGATCCCAAGCTGTATTTCTTCTATCACACATTACCCATCATCTGTTGATGTTAATTCCTGTGTGTAAATTCTACATATAAAAGTAACTGTAACAAGGAGCTTCATATTTTCCACTATGCATCTCTAACACAAATGTAAATTAGGAATTAACCTCATTCCTCTTCAGTTGTGGGCCCTGTAAAATCAGTTAAAGATGCAAGTTTTTACTGTGATGCAAAAAATCTGAAAGGAACAAGAAATTCATGTTATACAGTGGCTGACTGTTGTTTACAAGGGTGCTGGGAGACAATATTCAGAGTCTTCTGTCAGAGACCTGCCAGAAGTGTTTGCATAAAGAGAATTAACTAGACATCAAAGGATACATGGCAATGTAAGGCAAAACATGCTCCATCTTTCCACTGTAATGCAGAACACACAATAAGAGAATGACATCTGGAGGGGAAAATAAAAAGCAGTTGTTTATGGAAAGGAAACTATAGCCTATTTAAAAATCTAAAGGGGGAGAGAAAAACCTCACCTTGTGCAATGAGGATGGGGTACTCCAGGTAAGTCAGCAGGGGGTAGCCATAGTAAATCTGGTATCTCAGAAACACAAGGAAGCTGAGGAAAGCAACACAGAAAGGAAAACTTCATTGACAATTTCATTTTGAAAACCGTGCATTGGGAACAGCCAACAGCCCTAGTCAGGACCATCTCTCCCCATTGTGCAAATTGTAGAAACACTAAGGTAAAGTGCTGAAGATCTTCCAGTCCATTTCTTATCCTTAAACTGGAAAGCTGTAGATTTGTCAGCGCTAATGATACAACTTGCCAGTAACTGTTTAAACAATTACTACTTACAAGTAAATGAAAAAAGAATCCTAGCCATAATTTGTTAAGTTTTTCCTGACTCATGTCGGGACAAATGCTCATTTCTCAAGTTCTAACAGGTTACACTGTTCCAGGCCGTGAATTGTTTTATGAAGCAGAACAAACACGGACTCCTATCACTAGTCGAGGGCAGGCATCTAGACCAGCTCTTGCCACTGCAGGGCTGTGCTTTTTTATTGCATTTTTCTTGGCCTGCTGTCAAGTCCAGCTTTAAATGTACTGAGTGATGGCACATCTATCACTTCTCATAAGAGATGATCTTCAACTTTTATTCTACATCTTTTTGTCACAGCTTTCCCTGATAAGAGTTTTCTAAATAAGTTTGAGGGAAGGAGGCAGCTCCATTGATAACTGGCTTCTAAACCATTTCAGACTTAAATACCTAAACTCCACCCAGAAACGTATTTAATGCCATTCTTCCTGTACAAATGTCATAGGCCCTGCATCATACCCAACTCAGTGGGCCAGCTGTTGACTACGTCCTACTTTGGTTTATGGAGCAGACTAAACAGGCAGCTCCATGTTCCAGCCTTGACTTGATTGAGGTAAACTGCTCTCAGATGACTTCTCAGTCAGCCCGGGCTCAGCAAATGGGATCAACATGCTTCCCCTGCTTTGCTTGTGGCAAGCGAAGGTGTCAGGTCTGTGGCGGTAATCTGAGGCAGAGTCTAGATGATGCATCGTGGTGGAAGCATAACAGTCCAAATGGACTTTTTTTAAAAAAAGAAAGCTCTTTAAAACATTCCCCAAATAACGTACATCTCAGAGGTACAACAGGTGAAACCCCTGATAATGGTGAGCAATATCACGGTTGCAGCTTAGTTTTATAGCTCCTCTTCCCATTCCCACATATTACCCATAAAATATGACCCACACCACACGCTACTACGAATTCCCTATATAGATCAGGAGATCATTTTAAAGGCATAACCACTCTCTCACAGGTGCTGGCACCGCTGAAGTGAGTATCTACTGGGAAAAGCAGTGCTGCAAGCTGGTGGGGGAGGTCTTCTCTGTGTCTCAGCTGATGGCATCTGCTCCCTTCACAAGCAACAAGTGCTGTTACAGCCGAAGGGCCCTCCTGCATGTTCAGATCCAAGCTGGCTAGAAACCAGCTATACAGCCGTTGCACATTTTCAAACACTAACTTTATAGCTGGTTGGTGTTTTTATAGCTGAACAGTCATTTTTATCATGTGATGATTTGCACATGTGCCCATCCAAATGCAGTATGAGATTCACCAGTTAATTGTGGGATAATTACTTCCCGCTTGGGGCCAGCCTTACTTTGCACATGTGGCCGGTCTAAATTTATCGCAGGATTCAGTAACTAACTGAGGGATAATTACATTAGGGGTCTGGCCAGTGTAAATGTATGAGCAGTTTACTGCTAAACCGTGCCAACATACGTAACCTAGCATAGAGTCAGAGAAGTTTGAATCTTTATTTCCAGAGAAATTTGGATGTTTAATTTGCTGGGATCCTATGACCCCAGCTGACTTCCTGCCCCTGGGGTGGGTGGGCTGTACTCGATGATCTTCCAACGTCCCTTCCAGCCCTAATGTCTGTGAAATCCATGCAGTGGGACAGGGGGGACCTCCAGAGGTCACCTAATCCAGCGGTTCTCAATCTTTTTTGTGACAGAATCCATTTGTAAACCTCAATGGAAAGTGCCCACCCAGCGCCCCTCACTCCAGCCCCTCGCAGGCTGGAGCTCTGCCAGCCTGCACGGGGAAGGCCCCAGTTTCCCACGTTTTCTCCTTTAAAGGAGAACCCATTGTCAGTGCGGGGCAAGGAAGTGCAATGCCTGGGGCCGGAGATGACTGTAGCAGGGCGCGGGCCTGGACGCGGCGGCGGTGGGGGAGGGGTGGCAGCCAGCCCGGCTCCGCGGGACCCCCCAGAGCGCGGGGCCGGGGGCAGTTGCCCTTTTT